AACTATAAATACAGATCCAGGGTGAGTGGTAGACATGTTACATTTATTGCGCATTTATTACTGTTCGATAGAGAAAGTCATTGCTCTCAAAACTTTCTTAGACTTTGGCATCGGAGAATCTTTCGTAGGTCTCTCACCGCGCATTGAGAAGGAAATTGAGGAGCGAGGACGGAAAGCCAGACATACGGACATACGGAGTACAAGTAGAGAAGGAAATGAGGACATTGGACGACACATCCCTTCATATCCGAAACAACATGAAATATGGCTTCATGTATATCTACCAATCTAATCATCCAATTATTTAAAAATCCGTGTTCGAGAAATGTGATTATTATACAGATTTTATTATACAAGTAACAAACGAATAACCATACAAATTAAAAAACCAAATACATACTTTCTATGATGGTTGTATTACTAGCCATGTAAAAAGTGATATTATTTTATAACCGTTAGAGTTCTAACAATTACAGAAAGTTAATTTTTTGTATATTTTATTGATTTTTTTATGACAATTTTTTTTATAATTATATTGAAAGTGAATTTTTTTATGATGATTATGGAATTCTCATAAAATATATACATTTTCTGCATCGTTTAAATTTATATGAATGCAAGTATGTTGAAACAATATCATTAAAATTAATCATTATATTTAAAAAATTGTTAAAGTATGAAACTTTTATTATAGTTTTGTTTTTAGAAAATGTATTGATAATTGACAGAGAAAATGATATTTAAACTATGGTTTACCTATGAGACTATTGGATTTAAAAACAAAAAATATTCATAAAAATTATTCATATATATTGTTGGAAGTCTCACATGGATTAGAGATAAGGTCAATTCATAGTTTATAAGTAAGTGTAAATCTCACCCTACAAGCCGGTTTTGTAGGGTTGAATTAGGCTTAAAAATCTACTTTCTACTATGATATCAGAGCATGATTAGAGCCTATCCTAGCGAGTTCACTCGCCATCGAGAAATTTACAGAGTTTCACAAACACAAACCCTTAAAAATATTATATATATAGTATAAATGTAAGGAGGAATGTAAAATCAAACAGGGGTTGATTTCAGTATACATGATGGTGGAAATATCATAGGATGGGAAATGATTTCCAAAAAGCCTTTTGATTTGTTAATACTAAAAAGGCTTGTAGGGGGTAACAATCCCATGAGTTTGGGACATTTTGAGAGCATTGTGCCTCCTACACTCAGGTTATAAAAAAATTATATTTAACAATTGAATACTGTTTAACAATTACAGTTTTTTTAATAGGAAAAATATAATAATGAGATCACAGTATTTTTTAATTAAAAAATTACAATTATAAAATGATTTTTAAGGTTAATATAGCAATACTCTTAACCTTTTGCATAAATTTATAACACAGACCGTTCCTAGTGGACTTACCAGAGGTTCTAGATCTCGTGTAAGAGTTTGTATCGGGTACAATAATTGACAACTGTTATTATATATATATATATACGAGTTTGTTAACTTTTGTATGTTTTTTTTATTTATATTTTAGCAATGTGTATCAGATTTTAGTAGACAAAAATATTATCATATATTATGGATTCTAAGTTTTAAGATAAAGAGTATTTAAATAATTTTCATTCTCAAAACTAAAAAAAAACAAGAAATTCTCAAACTTTTACTCACCTTCCTACTTTCTTTCAACTTTTTCTCTTCGATCTCTCTCACTCTAACATTTTCTCTTTTATCTCTTTCACTCTAACATTTTCTCTGTCACCTTTACTATAACCCAATTGAAAATATCATAAACATTCGCCTAACCCTAATTCACCTTCCTCATTTATTCAATCCAATTTGTTTCTCTATATACTCTCTCTCATTCACACAGCAACTCGTGACACCGCAATCTGTTGTTCTTGCTTTGTTCATTCATTTGTTTTCCACTTTAATAGCGAAATAATTGATGATGTTGATGTTGATTTTTGATTGAAGGATGATGTTATATCTTTTCCCTTTTGATTATTATTGAATTTCGTTTTTAAATTTTAGAATTAGTAGTTTATCTTCGTTCTTATACACTTAAACACCCTACTTAGTGTTTGGAAATTTTCCATTTTGTTCGTAAAAATATGCAAAAAGATAATCACAAAATATTGAGTTCAAACAGAACCCCAATAAATTAAAACAAACAAGAGAAGGAAAGAAAAACCTAAAACCCGACCCAAATGAAAAAGTGGGTGGTTGACACTGATTAAGTAAAGTTAGGTGAATGTTTCTGATTTTTTCAGTTGGGGCTACACTATGAATGACATAGAAGAGTAAGAGATATGAAAGAGAAAAGGTTAAGAAGAAAAAAAGAAGGAAGTGAGTAAAGGTGGACTTCTTGTTTTTTTTAGTTTTGTGAATGAAAATTATTCAAATATCATTGACCTTAAAACTTATAATCCATAACATATGAAAATATTTTTGTCTACTAAAATATAAATTGTACGTAAAAGCCCACATACACACACACACACACATATATATATATATATATATATATATATATATATATATATATATATATATATGAATAGTTAAAAATTAAAAAGTTGATGGTACAACTCGTTTTTAAATAAGAAAAATTAAGAATTCAAGCCCATTTTACGAACATGTTTTACCCATTTCATTTTATAGATAACCGTTTTAACACTTCTAATTTGATCAAGCCTTAATTATTAATTTGATTAGTATTTTTATTGAGTTGTTTTAGTTTTAACATATATTTTTTAATTTGATCTTAATATTTATCAATTTTATTTAATTTAGTTTTTTTACTAACATTGTTTAAACAACGAAACAGTGAATAATGTATGTCATTATTTGTAGTGGTTTGTTTTTTATTTTTATATTATTTATTTATTTTTTATTTTTATTTTTTTAATTACATTTAAAATTAAGACAAAATTTAATTTTTATATAAATGTTATATATATATATATATATATATATATATATATTTGTATTAAAATTTATATTTTTATTAAATATTTCTAACTTAAGTTAAAGTTTATTTAAAATTAGAATGAAAATTTTAAAATGAAGACTAACATTGGTTTAAAATTTTAAAAAATTAAAAAATCACATAAACTATTAAATAAAATTGTCATATAAATAAAATTGTCAAATTTAAATACATATTTGTTATTTTTGTAAAAATAAATATTGTAGAGATTTTCTTTTCTTTGTTTTTTACCACAATAATAATTATAATAATTTCTTTTAATATTTATACAATGTGTTAATTTTAATTTAATATTTTATGTGACTTTTAACCTCTTAAACTTTTAAATGAATGATGTTAGTCCTTATTCCTAAAATATGTGTTCTAATTTTAAATCAACTTTATTCCTAAACCAAAAATATTTAACAAATATGTGAGTTTTAATAAAAATAGCAGTATAAAATTTATAAAAAATTAAATTTGTTTTCAAATGGAAAACAACAATATTGCTTAAATATTAATTTAATTTTTATTTTTGTTAAGTTTATTTAATTATTTTTAATATTTATTTTGGTTTCAATTTCGTCCTAATATTTGTTAATTTTATTTAACTTTTTGTTTTCTAACGTCATTTAAATAATTAATGGACATTGAATATTGTTTTTAACTTGTAAATTCGTGATTTTTTTTAAATTTTAGTTTTTTAAAAAATTTTAAACTTTTTAAGTCAAAAAAATGTTTACTTGTGTCGTCTGGAATCAGTTACACGTGATCAATGTTTTATATTTAATTTTGATTTATATTCATTATTTTTGTTCAATTTAGTTTTATTTTTTTAATTGGACCAATTTTATCTATTTTTAAATTGAGACCAAATTTAAATTTTATTTTAATGTTATATTGATATTTTTATTAAAATTTATTTTTTTATTAAATATTTTTAATTTAAAATTATAAAAGTAGAATAAATTTTTTAAAAGTGACGAGTAACATCATCACTTCAAATTTTAAGAATATAAAAATCATTAGTGATTTTAAAAATTTTAAAGGTTAAAAATTTTTAAAATTTTTAACCATTAATATTACTCATCCCACATTTTAAACCAATTTTAATCCCATTTAACATTTTCCTTGTAGCCAACATTTGCTCTGGTTCTTCCATCAATTCAAACTCATTTGAGAAGAACTAGCGGCAGTTCTTGACTTCTAGAACTTTGAGATTGAGTTTTTCTATTTTTTATTATTATTATTATTAATGGGTGTAACTAGTGACAGTAGTTCATAGGGTTGAGATTTGAAGTAGACGATGTATCCTACCTGAAATTCCACCTGATGCCTACCCCAGCCAGTCTGTTCTTTCATTCTCCCTCGTGCTTTGAGCAGGTTTTGCTTCAATCCAGCCATGATATTATCATTGAGCATCAACTCTTGGTTAACGTCACTTATGATAGTGTTTCTCTTGGGTATGGGATAATCTATCTCAACCAGACTCATGTTTGAAACGAAATTGTATTTTCATTTAAAGTGTTTAGTAGCTTTCTAATGCAATTGCATTTGAATTTCAGATACCTTTATTTTAATGACAAATAAGAAAATAAGTAGTTAGATGCTTTAATAAAAATTAATCATTTGGTCCTACTCTGTATGGGCCAATGCCTAAGAAAGCCTAAAATGTCCACATAAACAAAAACTATAGGACTAACATAGCAAGAAAAACTCATGGATCGATATGTGCTAGTTAGTATGAGGTCAAGATAATTGAGTCAGATCAAGTCAAATAGGTTGTTGGTTTGGGCTTTGGGTTAGACCAATATTTGTCCAATTTTCCTATCAATCTTACCAATTAAGGCTAATTAACATTGAATGAAAACCATATGGTTCCAAAGAAATGTCGCATTAGAGATTAATAGTGGATGCTTTAATAGTTGCGCGTTAAAGTTAAGACAAGGTTGATAGAGTTAAAGTGAACTCACTGTTATTGCATTCTAGTTACGTAGATTGCATTTGCATGTGACAGTGGCAGTGGGAGTTAGATGGAAAGTGAAGTCCGATTTGAAGTTCCATGCGTTCAATCTCTCATAACTGGTCTTGTTCTTCTCTTGGTCTTGGTTCAGGCGCGAGCATCATCAGCTTTCTTAAGGCATGCAAGAGCAGTGAACAGCTGAAGCAAGTGCACGCTTCCATCATCTACCGAGGCCTTGAGCAAGATCACTTCCTCATCTCCCTTTTCATTCCCCTCTCACACACCCTCTCCACTCTCTCCTACACCTCCTCCGTCTTCCTCCGTGTCCTCACCCCTTCAACCTTCCTCTGGAACACTCTCATCAAATCCCATTGCCAAAACAACTGCTTCTCCCAAACCCTCACCGCCTTCGCTCGCATGAAGGCGCACGGGGTCCTTCCCGACGCCTTCACCTACCCTTCTGTCATTAAGGCCTGTTGCGCCACGTGCATGCCGCGGGAAGGAAAATCGCTTCATGGGTCCGCGTTCCGGTGTGGAGTCCACCGGGATCTCTACGTGGCCACCAGTTTGGTCGACATGTATGGTAAATTCGGGCAGATTGCTGATGCTCGCAGGGTTTTTGATGGAATGTCTAAGAGGAGTGTCGTTTCCTGGACTGCTATGCTTGTTGGGTACGTTGCCGTTGGGGATGTTGTGGAGGCCGAGAAGCTGTTTAATGAGATGCCGCAGAGAAATGTGGCTTCTTGGAATGCGATGTTGCAGGGTTTTATCAAGTTGGGGAATTTGAGTGGTGCTAGGGACGTGTTTGANCACTTCCTCATCTCCCTTTTCATTCCCCTCTCACACACCCTCTCCACTCTCTCCTACACCTCCTCCGTCTTCCTCCGTGTCCTCACCCCTTCAACCTTCCTCTGGAACACTCTCATTAAATCCCATTGCCATAACATCTGCTTCTCCCAAACCCTCACCGCCTTTTCTCGCATGAAGGCGCACGGGGTCCTTCCCGACTCCTTCACCTACCCTTCTGTCATTAAGGCCTGTTGCGCCATGTGCATGCCGTGGGAAGGAAAATCGCTTCATGGGTCCGCTTTCTGGTGTGGAGTCCACCGGGATCTCTACGTGGCCACCAGTTTGGTCGACATGTATGGTAAATTTGGGCAGATTGTTGATGCTCGCAGGGTTTTTGATGGAATTTCTAAGAGTAGTGTCGTTTCTTGGACTGCTATGCTTGTTGGTTACGTTGCCGTTGGGGATGTTGTGGAGGCCGAGAAGTTGTTTAATGAGATGCCGCAGAGAAATGTGGCTTCTTGGAATGCGATGTTGCAGGGTTTTATCAAGTTGGGGAATTTGAGTGGTGCTAGGGACTTGTTTGAGGCTATGCTGGAGAAGAATGTTGTTTCTTTCACCACCATGATTGATGTGTATGCTAAGGTGGGTGACATGGTGGCCGCGAGGTTCTTGTTTGATCGTGCTCCTGGAAAGGATGTTGTTTCTTGGTCTGCTTTGATATCGGGTTATGTCCAGAATGGGCAGCCTAATCAGGCGTTGAAAGTGTTTTTTGAGATGGAATCGATGAATGTGAAGCCTGATGAGTTCATACTTGTTAGCTTGATGTCGGCTTCGTCGCATTTGGGATATTTAGAACTCGCTCAATGGGTTGATTCTTATGTAAGCAAGAGCTGTATTGATTTTCAGCAGGACCATGTAATTGCAGCGCTTCTGGATATGAATGCAAAATGTGGTAACATTGATAGAGCTTCGAAATTTTTTGAGGAAAGACCTAAACGAGATCTAGTCTTGTATTGTTCGATGATACAAGGGTTGTCAATTCATGGGCGTGGTGAACAAGCCGTGAATCTTTTTAACAGGATGCTGATGGAAGGGCTGTATCCGGATGAGGTGGCCTTCACAGTCATTCTCACAGCCTGTAGTCATGCTGGGCTTGTTGATGAGGGCTGGAACTACTTCCAATCCATGAAGCAAAAATACTACATTAGTCCTTCGTCTGATCACTACGCGTGTATGGTTGATCTTCTAAGCCGGTCAGGACACATAAGGGATGCTTATGAACTTATAAAATTAATGCCTGAGCCTCGTGGCGGTGCCTGGGGTGCACTTCTTGGGGCATGTAAACTATATGGTGATTCAGAGCTGGGAGAGATTGTTGCCAATCGACTTTTGCAGTTTGATAATCTAAATGCAGCTAACTACGTGCTGTTGTCTGACATCTATGCTGCAGCAGAGCGATGGATTGATGTTTCCCTTGTGAGAAGTAAGATGAGGGAAAGGAGAGTGCGTAAGATACCTGGTTGTAGTAAAATTTAGTCCAGGGCCGAGTTGTTCTGGTATATGAAGTTCTGAAATGGGAAATTTGGTTGCAGAACATCGAAGCCGATCTGAATTCATTTTCAGCTGATCTGGAAGCTTTAGCTGTTGCCCCATGGCTGTTAAACTGTCAATGGAGAAATATGAATTGATCCTTCTTTCTTCATACGCTAAACACCAAACCGTATACTGCTTTCTCTCCTCAGTACACTTCACTGCACTATTATTCTAAAGGTTTTCCTCCTTTCTATGCTGTGCATTTCCCCTTTGATTTTTTGCAGTAAATAACACCATTATTTTCGTAGATAAGTTTTTTCCTCACTGTAAATTCTGAATTCTTTTGGTAATCTGTTATTTTCTTGATGCAGTTTTTGTTGTTTAATTTGGTTGATTATTAATACTTAAGGTTCTCTATTTGTCGTGATTAAAATAAATATGTCTCACTGTTACTGCTTCATTGGAATGGTTCTCTGTATAGAAACTTACTTTGTCCTGAGTGAGCTAAAGACTAAAATATTATTGTGAATTGAGAAGCCAAAGTGATTTATTGGAGTGATAATTTAGTGTGATCAAATCAATGTTGCTGTGTTGTTTGATCTTGATGGCAAGGTTCAGTGCTAAATGTGAGTTGGTGTTAATACAATAGTCAAATGAAAACTGGAAAAAACTGATGCAGTTTGTATCAGAGGTGCCTGTAATTAGATAATCAAAATAACAGAATTAAAAAAAAAAAAAGAGGGCAAATTTCCAGAGAGCAGAGCTCTCCTAAGCAAGAGAGGAATCTCTCTACCCCAAATACCCAGTCCAGCCATTCACCGGATGATCCCCACATTCTTACAAAGGAAAAACATTTGACCAACCCCATTCCCTTCAAACAGAATAAGTTACAAAGGGAAAATGTAACCAACCCCACTCCCCTTTTAAAGAGTCACCCATTCCCCAAATAGCCCTCCTTTACTAACCAAACTCAAATAGAAAACCTCTAAACAATCAATCTTGCTTCTTATTCTTGGGGCTACGACAATGTTGCTTACTCCACCTGAAAGAATGATTTCTATCAAAAACACAATTGAAATAGGAAAACAGAGGGAAACGTCTATTTATTCATTTATTCTTTTCTAATTTTGTACGTGTTGTGTAGTGCTTGCAAATTAGTCAAAGTTGATATGTGGTGCCTTTAAATGTAACACTTAATCAGCAATGTATTGTTGGCAGGAGCATGTCATAAATCGGGACGAAAAAGAATTTGTGACCCAACTTTTGAGTTTAGATTTCTTTCGTAGCTATCATTTTTCCCCAAGAGGGAAGGGATGCTTTGCATGAAGCACGAACAGTTGGTAAATTTACTGGAACTTTGCTTTGTTGGTTGACTAGTGCAATTTCTAATGCAAGTAACCTATGGTTGTCATTTGGTGATATATTTTTTTATGGAATTATTTATTCCTGAAAAAGTTTGGTAATAAACTTCAAATTTTGAAGAGAAGTTTTATTTCAATTTACCTCCAGTTAGTGCACATTTTAGTTTTTTAAGGCCTAATCTGCATTTTCAATTGCTTAATTAGAGGCTATTGTGCATGGGTACCAAAACTCTTAAAGCTCAAGATATTTTGTGGTGGCCAGGGAATGGTTTTATGCTTTTCAAGTATCCAGTAGGCATGTGGCTATGTACGTGTGCTGAGTAATACTCCTATATATGTATTATTCAGCAGGTTAAACATCTAATTAATAGGTTGTGCAACAAAATTAATGTATTTGTGTTTAAATCTAAGTAGTTTTGATTTCCTACCACTCTAGAAAGTTGTAAATTTTTTCACTAATATGTTATTATCCGTTATTATTTTGTTTTTCTGTTTCCTAAGTAAGTTATGAGACAACTTCCATATAAGTCCTGCTCTGTGGTATTCGTGTATGAGTAAGTAGGTAAAGAATGTAAAAATTTAGTTATGTTGTTTGATATATGGTTATATTAGCTGTTTTGTTACACTTTATTCAATATGACTGACAAACACAATTGCAGCCTTACAAATAAATGCACGACGCATCTATTACAGAAAAAAATCTGATATTAATACTTTTCTGTTCCCTGGAGCCTCTCAGAAAATACAAAATATATTAATACAATTTTCTCCTTTAATATTGACTGCCATGAGACTCTTTTAATGATAAATTTTCCAGTATCAAATGCAGTCTACTTATGTGCCTCCTTTTGCAATAATTTCACGTATATTAATTTTCTCGTGCAGCTGAGTTATCCTGGTACTAAATGAAGATAGAATGGGTTGGTGATCGATAAAAAAAGTCAGAGAAGCCGCCAAAAGTTTCAGCTACAAGGTAATATATACATAGTACCAATATTCACAAATTCTTGCAATATGATTGAAAAATAAGTGGGGGATGCTCAGTCAATGGTGTAGTTATACTTTTTCCTTCGTTTAGAAGAGAAAAGTACTCATTATTTAATCAGGTTAGACTTTAAATTTGCTATATAGCTACATCATGAAAAGTGACTGGATCATTTAAGTTGTTTATGAAACTAACATAAGAATAGGCGCCAAATAAATACAAGCACAGTCGAGATTGCTTTGGACAAATTTATTGAACACCTAGTTTATTCTTCGTACTAAAAAACGGAAGGCTAGTCTTATTACTTTGTTTTCATCTGCGTGTTATACTCGTACATTATGTTAACTGTGAGGTTCTGTAAACATTACAAGTTTTTAAGTTAAAATTTGGCAGGAGGAAGGTCTCTATGATTAGAAGGAAGATAATTCTACTGCAAATTTAATTGAGAATCTCACAGTTTTATTTAAGTCCAGAGGCCACTGAATCAAATTGTTTATATGAGCTGCAATAGTTTTATTATTGAATGAAAGTATAGTTAGTTCTCTTAGCTGCACAAATAAGCTTCAATAGCAGTTTATGTCTTCAACACCTTAGATTTGTTATGTAGCTGCTGCAGCAAACATTTACCCGACCAGTTACATTTTTTTAACTATTGGAATGCATATCTCACTCAAATTTGTAATGAAATTTGGAAAGAACATGCATTTGCCTTCGAATTGTTCAACAGTTTTCTCGTGTAGTTGTATTGCAAGTTCGAGAAAAAATCGAACTGAGAGAAATCATTCTGAACCAAACCATAAAAACTAAATCATTTGTGAAAAATAAAAAACCTAACTGTTTCTGTAACACTGTTCGATTGGATTTAAACTGTTTTTATAAAGTGGTGTGGTTTGATTTTGTTTCGTACATATGAAAATGTCTGAATTATAAATGAGTTGTGATCCCATCTAAATCCATTCATAGAAAACCAAACATGTTCTTCACGAGAAGGAACTCTGCTAATTGTCATCACCATCTTCAAATGACACTTACATAACTTGAAAAACATGCTCAACGGCCACTGACCACCACACAACATAGCCACCACCAAAACACACACCACAACCTTCACACCAAACCAAAAACACATCCTTGAAACCAAACACACTCCATCCTTTTTTTTCGAAAGGGTATAATTGGTATTTCAAAGAATATGGGGTGCATGAAGAAAGTATGGAAACAAGAAGCATTGGCCCAAAACTGGTCTGTGTCTAACCAACTGCAGTTTTGGGCTTTAATAATTGCAAAATGATGGTTTTTGCTGCACCTAATGAAATTTCTTCCTACACTCCATTACAGGTTTCCGAAAATTTTGATTTGGAATACAGGTGGGATAAGTGTCTTCCAACAAAAATTTTCTGAATTAGTCTAGTGTGTTTAGAAAAGCAAAATCTGATTTGACAGGGATATGGAAAAATTTGATTGGGGTGCAGGAAGAAACATCAAATGCAAAATTGTAAAATCGTAATTTTACTGTTCGGGAATGTACCTAAAATGTAATTGATGTTACGCAAGAATTACTGATTTCATCTGTTACCACCTACCATTTTTCCTTGTCAGGGAAGAAGCAACAAAGTCATAGAAAATCATTTAAAGCTTGTACATTTCAGCTTCTGATCTTGAGACTGTATTTTAGTAATGAAGGGGTTGTAATAAATAGAAGTGGGAAAAATATTAAGTTTTTTATTACTTGGATTGTTTAAATTAAAATAAAGAAACCAACGAAATTTGTTCAATACAATTTCTTCCAGTATTTTTTATGTCTCTTTATTTTAGGAGTATTAAAATAATTCTGGCTTTATCTTTCCTTATATTAAAAATAATAAGCAATAGTTTGTCCCAGTCATCACCATTAAAAATTCTTCTAACTTGGACATCCGAATATTCTTGTGAGCTTTCACAATTCAAAGTAGCAATTTAATGGGTCAAATTGCCGTGTCGAATCCACCATTCTCCCCTTTTCTATGTTTTTTCTTCTCTTTTTCCTTGTGCACCTTTTTTAGGAGTTGATATGACACTCAAACATGATTCATTATAACCTTTTTTTATTTACTAGGTTGAAATTTTGGGCTTGAGACAAAACACAAATGTCGAACAAAACAAACGAATATGCATAATAAGCATATTATGCATGCATTCCTGTGAATCGATATTGTTGTTAACTGTGTCAAGTAAGTTTTACGTAGAAAGCAACTATAAAGCTGTTTTATAATCAAATAACAGAGATATATTACAAGTTAAAACACACAAAATGCGAAGCGTAAGTTATTCGTAAAGGAAGAGAAAGAGTATATGAAACACATATAATAGTTAATATTTATACTAAACAAATAAGACAATAATTGAAATATATATTTAAGTTATAAAATATAAGTTTACATCAATGAAAGATGTAAAAAAACTTAAATTGTTATAGTAAAAAAACGACATATATTTATTGATTTGTTGTTTTCTTACTTCACTTTAATGTATCAAATATTTTACCTGGCGTTATCTTATTTTCTTTGCATATATGTTGACATTTTATTTGTTTTGTTATTAATTGCAAATACTTTTATTATTAAAATGAAGAAACGACAACATTCCGTATATTTCCTTACGATATAGAAAGGAATATGCCTGAGAATAGTAACAAAAATAAATAAATAAAACATTTACATTTTTTGACTAATCCTTACAAATTTCTTTCTATATTTCGTGATTTTTTCCATGCCATTGTTGGCAAGAAAAATATTTACAAATCTCAGTGGTATAATAGGATATTATCCATAGACACGTCTTTTTTACGAAATTCATAGTGGTTTGACATTTATAAAAAAATAAGAACTTGTTTAATTAGCACTTATAATTAATTTTGTATCTTTTCTTTCCATATAAAAGGTGAAAACGTGTAAACTATTCAAACTTCTATTATTATGTCCAATTTAGAGCATTAAATAAATCGTACTAAAACAATTAATTATGGGACATTCAACAACGCACTGGTTTGCTAAATTAATTTTATATTTATACATAGAATAACACATTTTCATGTGAGTTGTGTAATGAAAAGTAATATAAGGGTAAACAATCTCCATCAATAATATAATTTTTATATTAGTATTTAATTACAAATTAATTTGGAGTTGATTAATTTCTAAAATAATTTTGTCACTGCAGTTTGAAGAAGAAAAAATATCAAAGAAAAGCCTTGGGCTAGGGGAATATCTTTGTTTTATGGTTTTGGCAGAAGAGTGTGACTCTGGATCCAGTTCTTAAATTTCGTGGGAGCAGCTACTACCTTTTTCCTGCGCTGCGCTGAGACACCACAACGTAGATAAGAAAGAATCCATCCATCATTGTTTCTGTTTTGTTGTTTTGTTCTATTATCTCATTCTCACATATCACATAACCAACCAACTAACAGCATTCTGCCAATTCCTCCCAAATATCTCATATCTCACTCCAATCCAACCCTTTTTGAGAACGCCACAATTATTCATTCAATCACTTCTCACCCATTTCAACTTTCTTCACTCTCGCTCCACCCCTTCTCCAATTCGCTTCAAGGTATCATTTTGACGACAACCCACGTTTGCTTCTCGGAAGACATGTTCTTTTTCCTATTTTTTCGGAACCCCTTTTGTTCTGATTCTGCTTTGTTTGTTATTCTCAGGTTTTTCAATATGGAGATCGATAGAGCAATCAGAGAGTGTGACGATCGAAGACTTCAGACCAAGTACAAGAACGCTACCTATGTTGTTCAGAGAGCTTTGACTCTTTATTCGTAAGTTGTCCTTTGTCTCCTCTGAGAAGGGACGTGCAATTTGTGGGATTGGTATTCTAAACCTTTGCATGAGATGGGTTTGGATTTCATTTGCGAGGGATTGGATTCTTTTGTCCCTTTTCTGTTGGTTAGTATGAATCAGAAGAGAAGAAGAGTGTTATGTGCTGTTGACTTGATTTTTGTTACTCGGGGCTCATTGCTGAATTGTTGATTTATGTTTGATCTATTTAACGAGAGTATGGGTGTATTGAATTTCCTTCCTTGATTATTATTCTCTTAGGGGCAAACTGTTTCTGAAAATGTTAATAGGTCTGTTCACCTGAAAATGTTGCTGGAAATGCGTTATCTGGAAAGAATGATGTAAAACAGTCTGTGGCGGTTTGGTATAAGTTACCGGTGAATACTGAGGATAGAAAACTAGAAATATATATATATATATATATATATATATATATATATATATATTTGTAACTGTATGAAAGTTTATGAAGAAAGGACGATATGTGCTCGCTGAAATTTGAAACAATTTACTGACTCTTGTAGCTTTATAGGAAGAACATTGCATTGGATGATGTCGGAATTTGGGATTTGAAATTTTATTTTTAAGGATGAGTGCATACATCATAGAATGATGCTCCCTACAATTTGGTCTTTTTGCTACTTCATTTGCTTGCAGTCATACCTGTTTTAAATTATGAATGTAAAAAAAAAAATGATTTTGGGTGACGTACAATGTATTTCTTCCTACAGTATTGAAGAGGTTGCATTCAGCTTCAATGGAGGAAAAGATTCAACAGTATGTGTTAATATTTGTTATCTTTTATTACTCATCAGAATCTATGGCTTCATTAATGATGACAGTGAGCTTTGGCATGCAGGTTTTGTTGCACATACTCAGGGCTGGCTATTTCTTGCATAAAAAGGGGCAAAATAGTGTCAATGGGGATTTCCAAGATTTTCCAATTCGAACAATATATTTCGAGAGCCCTTGTGCATTCCCAGAAATAAACTCATTTACCTATGATACTGCCGCTACGTGAGTGAAACTTCTTCCCTTGGATTTTTTTATATATTTCTTTAATTCGTCACTGCAGTTTAGATAATATGCTGAAGTGATATTATCCTATATTAATTTTATAGTTGTTGTAATTTTCCAACTTGGAGAGTTATCATCCTTTAAAGGTGGAACCATTGATGATTTTCTCTTGAACAGATATGGTTTGCAAATCGACACCATTAGCTTAGATTTCAAATCTGGTTTGGAGGCTTTGCTAAAGGAAAAGCCAATTCGGGCTATCTTCCTTGGAGTTCGAATTGGAGACCCCACTGCGGTATCCTTATTTCTTAACCATGAGACAGTTTTTTGTTTTAAATTACATATTCTCTGATCTCCTATTTGTCCAAAACTCAATGCTGTTTTCTGCAAACTTGTGGAAAGCAAGATTTTATTTGAATGGTGCTAGGGGCTATGTTAAAATTCACAACTAAAAACAATACACAATATATGAACATCTTTCGTAAAACTGCACATGTATATAATTATTGATATATAGATGTTATAAAGGGAAAAGCTAAGCTACATACTCATTACTCTGTATGTTTCAATCTAGCAAAGATAAAATGGCTTAAACCATCACAAGAACGATGCTTATTATACCATAAAATGGCACTTGCATTAGCTCATAACTTCTAGTGTTCCTAGAATACCTCAGCATTGTTATTAGTCTCATTAATAAATGACCATTATACATATTATGTATACTTTATGATGTGCCAATATTACAATCATTGAACAATTTTAGCATGCATTAAATATTTAAATGCTAAACCTTCAATTTTCCATGTTTAACAAGCTCAAAATCACTGGAATTTGTGCATAGAGCAAATTCAACTTAAATTTAGGTTCCTCAATTTCTGTATAATCTTGCTTTTAGTTTGAAAATCACCAGAATTCTACCCACTGTAATCAGAATATGGATAAATAGATCACTCTAAGTTTTGAGGAAAGGATAATTGGGGCACATGTGCAAAATCATCTTGTTTTGAAGATCTTCTAATGCATGTGAATATTGAAATTAATCAAGAAGTTCGGCAGTATACATTGTTTTTTTTTTCATTTGAGGTTCCCTTTATTATTAGTTCTTACAAAATATATCTTTTCGTATATTGGGCCAAGCCTGAAAATGTTTTCAAAAGCCTAAAACTAACACATTCCCGAAAAAATGTCTCAAATTTCTATTCTATAGATTATTTAAATATTCTTCAAATTGCTTACCAGAATCTTGATTTACCACTTTTATTTCCTCAAGGTTATTCTCAAACATGTCCATTCAGAGTCAATTATGAACAAAACGTCAAGTGTATGGCCTTAGTAAAAAGTAAAAGCTTAATATGTATGCTTGATTTCAATGAATTTATTACCATACAGTTTATAAAAAACTGTATTCTATTCTTACATGTGTGCTCCTACCTTACAGGTTGGTCAAGAACAATTCTCCCCAAGTTCACCTGGGTGGCCACCTTTCATGAGGGTGAATCCCATTTTAGATTGGTCATACAGGTTTGATTCTTTTTTCTCTGCAGTCTTCTTCATGCTTTTAATTAAGTAAAATTAAAACCAGCGCTTATATTTAATGCTTTTCTTTTAAACTCTTACCTGAATGACCAAGCAATATAAAGATCTGAAGGAATAAAATTCTCTTGTAAGCACATTATTGGTTGGAGCCAACTTTATTATATATTATTTCATTTCGGTGTAAATTTCACCCTTGGTGACTAGATCTGGGGTCAAGATCATCTCTATGGTATTCATGCTTATGTCACACTCTCCCTGCTCGGCTCACACTGACCTTGCCTTGTCTTTCATATGCCCGAACTTAGCATGGGCTTTTGTTGGGCTTGAATATTGCCTCATGCTCCTTGCTTCATTGCAATCATTTGGTTGCATCTCCTCGTTCCATTTGTACTAGATAGGCCCAAGTACAACCTGGACTAAAATTGCTACTTGCATTTATTTCATAAAGGAAAAGTCATTCAATTAATGAGTCTAAGAAATACAAAATAAAGAAACTAATAGACTATTTTTGTGAGCAAGAATATGTTCTCTTTTATGCTCCTAGTTATCCTCCTCGAAATGATGTGTTATTGTTCTTTTTCTTTTCTTTATCTCTGCTGCTATAACATATTTGGTAGTGTTGGATGATATGTTTATTTTCCCTTAAACATTAGTACTAGAGACAAACAAATATGTTTATTAGTCGTGTGAGCAGTTGCTCTAATAGAAAGACTACCTCAGTTGCACTAATAGAAAGACTACCCCATTACCAAATTTATTTATACTTTTGGCGCTTTTTTTTCCTCAGTTATATAACTCAACTCTTCCCTTTTGTATACAGCCATATCAGTATTGTCCTTAGTACAACATCTCTTACATTTATAACCTTTTGGAAATACACAGACTTTCGTATTTGGTTAGCCATGTAGATGAATAGTTAGAGAAAACTATAAAGCCTCTTGTAAACACTGAGGGTAGCTTGTTAAAAGCAGAAAAAGACTTTACTCTAAATGGATTTTCTTCAAAATTTAGTACACATTTAATTTTGTTTTCATTTTCTGTTTTCACCTTTTAATTACAAAACTACCACCTTGTTTTGAATTTGTTGTCTATTTTCAAAGATTTGTAGAAGCTAACAAGACAAATAGTTTTTTCAATGTTTCCTGTGTAGAAATAGGTAATAATTTGAAAACAAGGTGACAATTTTGTACTGAAAAAGGTCAAACTGAAGAAGAAAACATGAAATAAATACCCAAGTGAACGGACCCTTATTTTCTTAATCGCTCACTTCTTCTCTTAAACCAGACAGAAAATACCCCATGATCTGCTCCTCAGGTATCTGGGTCGTTTGCCCCACCAGAACTTCAAAATCACGTATGTATTCCCCCACCGATCCCGTCTGTCGTATGGTGGAGAGTCTCTCATACACCGTTCCTCTAGTTCCTCCCCCAAATCGGATACCCAGCGCCCTCTTCAACCCCTCCCAAGACAGGGTCTTGGTTTTCTCTCGCCAGAATCGGAACCAGCTTCCGGCGTAGCCATCCATGCTAATAAAGGCCAATTCCAACTTCTCCTCCTCCGCCACCTTCTGGACTTCGAAAAACTTCTCCGCTCGGCCGATCCATACCCACGGTTCGCCCCCCTCAAACACGGGTAATTCGACTCGCTTCCTCCACTGGCTCATCCCTCCTTGGTTACCTTCTCCCCCATTTCCTCTTCCGCCATTCAGACCACCCCCATTATCGTTCACCGACGACTGACTCTCCCCCTGTCGCTGTCCTTGGTTAATGGGTATGCGTTCTCCCATCGCTTTCAAGATCGCTTGGTCATCCTGGCGTATCGCCGTCGTATCAGCCTTTGTCTCAGCTATTGCCACTTCCACCGCCTCTAAGTGCCCTTCGACCACCACCATTCTTCCCTCCATCTCCACGCGCGAACACTCCCCGATATGGATTCGGCAGGTCGGACCAAATGTTGGGTTCCTAAATTGGGAACACACTTTCAAGACTCCCTTCCTACCTAGAAAACACAGAAAGAAAGAAAGAGAAGTCTGAATGTTATTCACAAGTATAATATCTGTACAATCAACTGCAGAGGCATAACCCTCTTCCACAGGTATAAACCCGTAAGCAACTAAGCAATCAAAAGTCCCCCAATCCCTTCTACTCAGCCGCTATTTATACAATCTTACAATCTCACCAAAACTGTCCTAACTGTTAGTTTGTTATATTCATTTCCTCCTATTCCTCCTCTCATAAACTACCCATCCTTTCTTATTCTTATCCCTATCACTACCCCATTACCAAATTTATTTATACTTTTGGCGCTTTTTTTTCCTCAATTATATAACTCAACTCTTCCCTTTTGTATACAGCCATATCAGTATTGTCCTTAGTACAACATCTCTTACATTTATAACCTTTTGGAAATACACAGACTGTCGTATTTGGTTAGCCATGTAGATGAATAGTTAGAGAAAACTATAAAGCCTCTTGTAAACACTGAGGGTAGCTTGTTAAAAGCAGAAAAAGACTTTACTCTAAATGGATTTTCTTCAAAATTTAGTACACATTTAATTTTGTTTTCATTTTCTGTTTTCACCTTTTAATTACAAACCTACCACCTTGTTTTGAATTTGTTGTCTATTTTCAAAGATTTGTAGAAGCTAACAAGACAAATAGTTTTTTCAATGTTTCCTGTGTATAAATAGGTAATAATTTGAAAACAAGGTGACAATTTTGTACTGAAAAAG